GGGTCAGAAATAAATGGCTTGGAGGCTGCAGCTAATGCCGGGTTCACATCGTGTGGTTATCAGCCGTCTAAAAAGAAATGAATAAATGATCTGGTTGTGATCGTACGCCGAGGTCGTCAGGGTGACAAAAATACTGACTGCTTTATTGAGCACTCTCATAACCAAAGACCAACAACCAACATCAATCAGTATCAGAAATGTTCTGTAAAAGCCACTGCCACTGACAGACATCTGATTATTGTCCACTTTTTAAACCCTGAGTGTCCACTGCTGTCTACTGTTCCTCAGCCATCTCTCCCTCTTGCATTTATCAAGTTGACTAACATCCTAAACTTTCAGTACTTTTGCTGTTGGACTCGTATCTCTGTTGGGTCTGTCTGTCATGATGCAGTTGCAGCAAAAACAAATAAAAAATCCAAACATGAAGTCTTGTTTCTTCTGTAGCACAACAGATGTTACTGCTGATATTTTATGAAATAGAGTTAACATAGTGTGACATATTATAGTCCATAGCAAAACAAATACCGCTGTTGGTTCAAGCAAAGCTTTACATTTACTTACATTGTTTTAAGTAATCATTCTGACTACATATATTTCTGCTGATTCACCTAAAGCAGCTGGGCTGTTAGCATTTTGTGAATAAGTCTGTCGCAGTAATCAAGGAATTAATGAATCACCTGATAAATTAAAATGACCTCAATAATTTCCATTTGCATGATTTATCATTTTTCTCTTTTTCCAGAGCTGCAGGACAAAAGTCTTCAGTCTAGTGCGCTGCTCTCAACTACCTCTTTGTTTCAGACAATTTTGTTTATAATTCATCATATTTGATGTTTCTGTTGCTTTGTTTATTTATTTTGGACATTTTAAAATAATTTTCCAGTTCCAGAGTTAAATATTGACTGGAATTTAAAGTTTACAGATCTTTGTTAATGTGTTCCTGCATTAAAAAGCCATTAACATTATATTGTTTGAAAATTGTCTCAAAACAACAGTATCATCCTTTATCGTAATCATTTCTGGGACAATTTCTAGCAAAATTCATTATGGTGACAAGGCCTATTTTATGAATGTGAACATCTTGGGACATAAGCAACCCCCTTCGGATATTGACAAATCAACCACTGTACACTGTACAGGAAGGACTGGGGCATCTTCTTGCATATTAAAAATAACCTAATACTGTTAAACCTCTGAAGAAAAAGTAGTTAAAGACCCGAACAAAAGACTAGATGGAAAGTGCAGAGTGGATCTTGTACTCTTGCGTAATCAGTTGGTAGTTTCCTCATGCAGGCGTTGATAATATGAGCACATATCATTGCTGAACATGCCTGCTCTAGTGGTTTACATGTTGGCTTTGAAAGAAGCTCAGTTTTACAGCTCATCATTGATCTTTTTTACAAAGGCCTTGAGTTTCCCTCAGTGGGATACTCAGGGCTGTACCAGCCTCAGGTTAACTTCTGTCTCTTATCCTGCCTTAACCCTGACATACAGGCACGTCAAATTCAGCTTCAAACTGTTTTATTAGGTGAATATGACCATGTTGGATACGCACCCAATATCTTTCATTATTTTCCAGACACATTTTTTGTCACAATAACTAAACATTATTCAAATCAAGACAATAATTTCTACCCTAAAAGGTACAGAAAAAGCAAGTCATGGCAGATTTTATTTTCAACATGCATTCAAGATGATCGTTGCTCCAACGCCTGAGAACATGCTGTGGCTCTACACCTTTATTTAATGGCACATCATAAAAAATCTATAATTTATCAGCTCTATTAAGGAATTGATGGTCTTGCAATTCCAAGAACAGAGGGAGGAAATATCTTAATACATCAAGTAAGTCATTAAGTTCCTTTGAAGTGACTTTGGGATGTAGTTAGATGAAAATACATTAAGCTGATTTTGGGGGTTGAAAAGTCCCAAAACAACTCAATGCATTTTTTTTACTTAGACAAACACCTTGGTTCCTATGTCAATAGTCCCACAAATAACGTCTGCTCTCAAGATCAAAGCAAGGAGATAATTTATCTCTTTGCAGGATCTGGGCAAAGTTCATAATTTCATTTGAAGAACACAAAGCCAAGCTGTTGACAATGATTAATAAAAAAAAAGTCTGTTTTTCATGAAACCTTGTAACGTACCGACTCCAAGCAATGTGTCTGCACATGTTCAGACACAGCTGTGTCCTAATCCCATGTGAAGAACAAGTACAGGCAGTCCTAAACACTGCACTGCTTATCTAAACTGGGAACTGGCCACAGCAAGAAATGGAGACAAGCCTTGGAATACGGTGGAGTTAAAGTCGTGAGCAACTGAAATGTTAAAACCCATCACAAATGGTTAAGGGTAATCCTGACAGAGCTTGGATGCATCGCTGCAAAGCAAACATGCATGTGCTTTAAATGGCCGCCAAACACTTTATATGAAAGCATAACCTATCATTGATCACCGAAATGCATAATCTCAATTCCAGGCTAAAAGCCTTCATGTTCACTTTAATGCAAAAATTCATTTGCAACCATACCAGCACATTAAGCAGCTAACTTTGTTTTATCTCCCAGTGATATTTAAAACACCATGTGTGCAGAAATAAGTGTAAAATATTAATTTTGCTAAATTGCACTTGTGATTTGCACAAGCATGTGTTCTGCCATTATATATGCCCCTGGCTTGCTATGCTTCCTGCCTACTGCAATAACGGTAAGTAACCAAGCCAGTGCACAAAAAGCATGCACATATTATTATGAGTGTTGACAGTGTACATTCATATGCAGTGCAAACCAAACTGGCATCATGTGCGTCATATGTGAAACGCGGCGGGGCTGAGGGTGGCTGCACTGAGCTTTCTGATCAATATCTGTGCCGTCAGTGAGGCTGGAGGACCATTATCACCAGTGAGCCAAGCAAAGTGTCTCTGATGTGGAATGACAGGGAGCTTTCACAGAATCTGTCCTACCATTCCCCTCATTGGCAAACACTCACACATGAATACCCCACACTGCAGCTTCCCCTCACTAGGCAACCATGTGCAGTCACACAATGTATTTATTTGTTTCCTTTGTTTTCCAGTCATTTCATTTTTTTTTTTTTTTTTTTTTTACATTTTTCCGGAGACGCTGTGTTTCGCTCAAAGCTGTGTGTTCCAACTTAGGTCAAATTTTGTAAGTTATGAGGCAACACTGCACTGGATGCCTTGAAATGCAAAGTATCTACAATAAAAGAAAGCAAACACTGTGAACTTGCAATCAATTAGAAATAAAATATACATAAAAAAATACATTAACACCCAATACAAAATTTTATATGACTGTTTGATATGGATGTTGTCTTGCAAAGTTATCAATACACCCTCATATTAACAGACTGCACATACTGGTTATTTATCGTTGTTTTATATCTATAACTGAGGATGTTGTGCACAGATTTGCACACTGTATAGAGATAAAGGGTTTAGTTCATATTTAACTATGTCATCATCATCACACATGGGCGCTTTATGTGTTGAGTAATCTGCTCTAATGTTGGTCACCTGGATGTTTTGTCAGTGCATCATTCAGCTTCCTGTGCATCCCTGAAACATATTAATTGCATCCCAACTGGCAACAAGGAGAGGAGGGATTAAGCAAACCCATCCAAGCCCATATCAAACTTTTTTTTTTTTTTTTAATTGTATTATTTTGGGCATGTTGAATCATACTGACACATCCCTTACCTCTCTCCTCCTGCTCTCCGCCCCGGGTCTGGTGATGAGCGCCGTCTCGCCGCACACCACTGCCGCGTCCTCCACGAACACGCAGTCCGGGAGCGACTCGTCCGCGGGCAGCTCCACCACCCCCAGCCCGAGCCTCGTCCGCAACACCTCGACGTACGCCTCGTGTTCCGTCCGCGCCCTTGTCAGGTCCACCTCCGCCTGGCTGGTCCTGAGCGCCTCTTTGGCCAGGGACGCGGGGATTCCCCGGACAACCGCATGGGTGTAGTGACCAAAACCTGCCATCAAACCAGCCATGTTTTCGCTTTCCTCTTTTTCTCTCTCTTTCTTGGCACGCACAAATCTGGGGGGAAAGGATTGGAAAAAAACCCACCCTAAGAGACAATTCAGCGAATGAATAAGAAAAAAAAATGCCACCCTGTTGACGCAATGCTGCCTGTCTTGCTTATTTTCTGTCAGTTTGTTGGGTTTTTATTCTTTATTTACAACAGCCTGCAACACACAGTGTCAGTCAGCCGAGCTCCAGTCTCTGGGCGAGCGACAGCTTTCGGTGACGCGCGCCGATCATCACGTGTAGCGCTACGAGGCTGTCAGCCCTCAGAGGCGATCAGGCCAACAAGTGACAGAAACACACAAAGCTGATGGATTAATCAGTTTCACACTGTCTCAGCACAGCAGAGCCTTCAAATCAAAGGACTGCTGGAGTAAAAAGCCTTTCTTTTTTTCTTTTTCTTTTTCCAAATTGTCCCTGTGTCAGTGTGTGGTATTACCCACAACCAGTGTCTTACTGTTAACATATTTACAAAAATGAAGTAGTTTGTGAAATGAATAATTACTTTTGTTTTAATTATTTGCAAAAAGAAAATATGCAACGTTAACCAAGCTTTACCAGGTAGTCAAACAGTAACTCTTGGAAATGAACAAAGAAGCAGAGCTGTAACTTAGCCCAAATATCTTTATACCAGGATTTGTAATCTTTTAAATACATCAACTTGTTTCTTCTGACTGACGTTTCAGGATTATTTAGATTGCCACGGCCAAAGTCCTGATTTGAATCGAACTCAGATTCTCTGGAGAGAGTTAAAGATTAGGGTGATGACACAGAGGCCTCAAGCCTTAAAGATTTTTGGACTTGTGGTCAACATACTAAAAAGAAACATACAAAATCCTGGTCCTGGTCCTTTAATTGCTGCAACACAATTAAGGATTTTTCTGTTGATTATCCAGAAGGATTAAAAAAAAGATCCCAAAAAATAAAAAATCAAACTCTCCCCTTGTTTTTAATGACATTTTTTAAATCCTTATTGTCTTTTTACATTGTTTAGTTATCTTCTGAGAGATGCCTAAAGTTTGTTTCTGATAAGAAACAAACATATCAGCCATGAGGTTTATTTGTTCCTTATCAGAAACAAGCTTTTTGTTTTATTTTGTCATCTTAATCACTTCAGTGTAAATTACTGTGCAATGTTACACATATTTGTAAAGTAGAAACAATCAATAAAAAATCTATAAAAATGTGGATTCATGTGTATTTATTGTGCTTTACTCTGATAGTCTTAATAATGTGGGGAAAAAAAGTAGAACTTTTCAATGAGGGCCTTAGAGGTGTTGGGGAAAATCAGAGAACACACAGTGACATCAAGACCAAGAAAAATCTCAAACAGGTCTGGGGTAAAGTTGTCAAGAAGCATTAGGTCATAAAACAATTTCCCAAGCTTTTATTATCTCACCATCCATCCATCATACAAAAATGTAAAAAGTATAGGACAACTGAAAACCGACCAGATAAATGGACTAGCAAGGAGAACATTATTTGGAGAAGCCACCTAGAGGCCAATGGTCACTGCAGGAGCTGCTGAAATGCTCCGCTCAGGTGGTCAGATCTCTTATTAGGACGACTATTTGGCATCAAAGGAATTGTTGGAAACAAGCCACAATAAGTCCCATTTTAATAAGAGGTCTTGTCTACAGCAACTAGAGCCAAAATGACACGTTTAGGCCTAGAAACACTGGACACCACCCTTTAAGACACCATTCTCAGTTTGAAATCAGGTGGTGGCAGCATCATGCTGTGGAGATTCTTTTGTTCAGTAGTTTGGCTGAACTTGGTCAGAGTTGATGGGAAGATGGATCAAGCTATTTCAACTCCTGAACAATACCTACATAAAGTATAACAACTACAATAACCTTAATGAGGTGAACCTCATTAAGGTGGAGGTTCACCTTAATGAAGTTGTTAATATAAAAGTTACATTTATCTTTAAAAAATGAATGACAACATCCACATGCATATCAACATAAAACAAGAAGTGCAAGTGCTAGAAAAACAAAAGTATTCTTACTTGATTTCTGCAGCACTGATTTTCATTATTCCAGCCATGTTCAATAAAATGCTTTTCAAAAGCAAGAAGATAAGAGCACAGCGCCATTCTTCAACCCAATGTTTAAAAGCTTTGCTCTTGGCAGACTTCAAGCAAAAAACACACACAAACTTCAAGGGCAAAGAATATCAAAAGGGGCTTTCTGCTTGTGTGAAGTGTAGGGCAAGTATGGGAGGAATGGCGGGCGGGTGGGGGCGGCTATTCCCTACAGTGCCATCTAAGGAAGGTTCTGGGCCTGGCGAAGCCGTCTGAATGGATGGAATGTTTTGTTCAGACGTCCCAGAAACACTTTTTTTCCACCGCAAGATCTCGGTTTGTCTTTTCTTGTTCCAGATTCACTCAATTATCCTCAACTGCGCTAAACATTCCAGCACATTCTGAGGAGCCCCACATTCCATTTTCCACTCCAGCCAGGATCGCCAAACACTGCCCACCCTGTTCCCAATACCAGCACCTGCCCCCTGCTCAGCCCCCCCTTCTTTTCCATCATTCTTGGTTCTGAATGGATAATGCTTAAGTTTTTCCCCCCCTTTGAACAGAAGTGAGTTTTCTTATACTTTTATTCCTCCATAACAGAGGATGGAGGGCTGATGGAGGGTGTGTTCATTTTAAATCCTTTGCATCGTTTATTACTTTCCAGAAGACAGACGAGCTTTAAGATGTTATTAAACATCTTAATAACATCTAAGATGTTATTAGACAGAAAAACGTTATTCTGTCTAAATTTTCATCAAACTCCAATCCAGTTTTGACATACAAGTAACACAACACAAATCAATCATTTTCAATGATTGCGCCAGAGCAACTGGGAAATAAATCAATATCCAATTAACATCCGTCCTACTTTATGAAAACACGTTTAAAGTCTTGTTACTATTAAAGTTGTTCTGCCACCAAAAGCTGTCAAGAATAAAATCAGGTGAATTAGAGGTTCTGATTTATCAGTGCCTTAAGATAAAATGCAAAGAACAAAAATTTGAGTTTCCCTCTTTGATTGACACAACAATTGTAAACGTTTTAATTTTTTTGTTGTTTTTTCAGCTGAGAAATGCAAAAAAGTTGAAGGGATATGAATTATTTTGCAAGGTGGTGGCTTACTTACAAGGTGTGGATTTGTTAATGTTAGGGGCCAATCTGCTCGAGTTCTTGACAAATGGAAAGCATCACTATGATGCTGAATTTTAGTATTTAGCATCACAGCTGACAGCACACATTCCTCACAGTGGGGCAATATGTGCTTTCCACACTGAAGCAAACCTGTCACTAAAGACTGAACAGGATTGTTCAATGCTGCAAACCTCATCTGGCACATTTTTTTAAAAGAATTACAGTAGTGATGGTGGTTTGAGTGAAGCAACATTTAAAATTTGCTTATTTTGTGACAGGGAACATTTTAGCAGTACCATATGTCAGGAGGGTACAGTAACTTAAACACACCCAAACATGATTTCATTTTCTTTTGTACATCTAAGCAGAAAATTTGGACCTGTCACATTAGGAATGCGTAAGAATTTAATTTTTTAAAATGTCAACAATTTGGCAAAGCATATAGTAAGAAATGGTGGGAAAAGTGAATTTTTGCTGCTTTAAACTCCACCAACGTGATAAAAGAAGAAAACATAAATAATATACGCTAGACGGTATTATGATTCAATGTTTTATTAAGCTGTTTTGGTTTTATTTGCTCCTGTAATTTATATTTTCTGTCAGCTTTTTAAAAATCTAATTCTATTTCTTTGAGAAGCACAAAACTTTCTACTTCACTTATTCCCACACCTGCCTTTTGTTAGGGACCAGACATCCTTTGTCATCCCACAAAGAGTGTTCCTGAGGTAGGCAGGGTTGCACCAGGAACCAGGAAGCCTTAATGATTCCTGGTTTTCCAATCATGTGACTGATATTAGAGCTATAAGACAAAAATGTTGCCATAATTAATAAGCAGAGAAAACTGACCTGACCCGCAGGCATGATTAAAGCTGTGCATGAGCAGCTATCTCTGGGAGTTTATATTTGGTTACTGCCTGTACAATCAGCTGTAAAATGATAAAAAGAAACCCAGATTGCTCTGACAGGATATGCATCTGATCTGACCTGCAGACATCGCACTCTTTACTCCACTTTCTGGGGAAATACCCATTCTTTTCACTTCTCGGAGATTTTTATGCCTATTTTTCACTGATTATTTTGGCAGTCAGTCAGGGTATGTTATGCTTTTGTAATAAAGCTCATTATCTGCTCTCTGTCATCTCAGTGCCACACAGCCATATGACAAGGTAACACATGTATTGTGTAATATGTTTTTGTAAATAGTCTTTCATTTGTTACTGGTATTTATTGTTGAAGTAATCAGTTTTTGTGGCCCCTGTAAAAATAAGATATCAACAGGGATCGTCTTGGATTACATCTTAATCCTTTCCTGTGAAACTGTATCATAAACAGATTCGGTAAAAATGCTCTGTACACATTAACTTCTGCCTTCTGTCAGTGTTTAAAGATCTGCGTTTCTTCAGTGCTTGACTCTGCTTTGATTGTTGGATTCACTCTGGCAGCCATTCTTAAGAGAGCCGACCATAATTTTTTGGACTTCCGGCTGTTCCATGTCCTGACACTGAAAGGAAGTGTTGCTCATGCACAAAGTATTCTGCTTATGATATTTAATCCTGAAAACGCCACAGTGGAATCTATTGTCCAAACAAGTGACACCGTCCTGTTCTGTTTCTCTGAACGTAGAGACCAGCGGGCTGCTGGCCACAGACTTCCTCAGCATTGATTATGAGAACTGCTGTCTTCTGAACTATGGGATGTGACAACAGGTTTCCATTACACTGAGATACAAGGAGTCATGCAACATCTTGGATTGGGATGAAGAGTGAATTTTCTTAAATGTCTCCTTTGGAGACAGAGAAACTGCAGGGGTAGGCACATTGAAGAACATTTAGAAATATGTAAAGATGGTCTCTATGGTGTAATGTATAAGTTATGAAGGTTCTCAAAAAGCCTGAATGGAAACTATTTTGCAAGTGGGACAAAGAAACACACGTTGGCCTTCTGGGATGTTTCCTGAATGTTATTTTTCCTTTGACGTACAATGAAAACACTGTTTCCTGTCACATTAACAAAGGGCCAGAAGCACAAACATAAACTCATTCACGCCTCTTAAAATGTTTTCCTATTTTGTCACATGAAGAAGCAGGTCAAAGTTGTAGGAAAGACCAAACAACCTCAACATAAGTTGATTCAGAAAGACACCCTGTTTGAAATTCGCCTCTCACTTCACAATTATGAAATACTTTGCTGGTCCAACTTGGACTTGGACTATATATATATATATATATATATATATATATATATATATATATATATATATATATATATATATATATATATATATATATATCAGGAGTATCTACTTTTGCAAAGTGCTGTGAAATACTTTGCATAACAACTGCGTTACATTCCAGGACAGCACACATGTGCTCCAAAAGACACACCCCCTGCCCTAACGGACTGCGTACACACACACACACACACACACACTCACACACTCGCTCACTCATAAGGCTGTTCATTGAGTGCAAACAGACATCAGCAGAGGGTTTACAGTGGAACCACGAAGATATGCCCTGCGAGACCTAAAATAAAAAACACATCATCCTCCAAACTCATCCCGTCACATCACCATCTAGTGTCCTCATCTGGAAGTATGAAAAGTGAAAGGAAACGAAAATCCAGCCGAAGACATTCTGCGCAGAGGGGGGAAGGTTTCAATACTTTATTTTAACAAGTCAAGATAGTATTGAATAATATTTCCTTTTGATGAATTCTTTTTGAAAAAAGATCAGTGCCAAATATTGAACAGAGTATTAAAAAAAAAAAATAAATCTAACAAACAAAAAACCAAATCCAAACTCACCAGTGAGGTTCATCAGCCGTCTTGGTCGGAGCGGCATTTGAAGTAATTTAAAACAAATATAAAAGACTATATCAAGATAGAAATGGTAAGAGTTTATATTCTTTATAAACATTTTGGGAGTCTAGCAGCTGTTTAAAGCATCAAATTGTTGCGTCTTTACGCACAACTTCCCCATCTGGTTCAAAACTATCAATAAATCGGAATCGTTTCATGTAGCAGGGTCTTACTGAAACCCCCGAGGTAAAAGGTAGGCAGTATTTTTCTGTACTCCTCACCACCAACATCATGTGGAAAGATATGGACACACAAAAGGACCAGATTTCTTCCCCACCCAGCAAAAAGTGGACAGTTTGTGTGAAAAGTCAGGAGAACCAAGGAATGAGGGCAAAAAAAAAAAAAAAAAGAATCCCCCTGCGTGGGGAACATATTTTACCAGCATTTAGCTGTCAGGAATGCCGGCCAAAGAGGGAGAAATATGTTAATAATGTAGGCTACTGCCATACCAAATATGGCAATATTGTTACGTCTGAGCTCTTGGTGCGCATCTGGAAACGCTTAGACTTCTCTGAATAAAAGCACCGGAGAGCCAGAAATAGACGCTGTTAAACGTATTTCTGCCTACACCTTTAACACTAACACAGAGAAAAACACCCTTTTCACTTTAGACATGGTTTGCAACATCTGATAAAGATGAACGGATTCGATCTGCATAAGCCATACCACGGGATTAATCTCCAATAGTGGCCAAATTAAAGTGAAACTAACACTTTTTTTCACCCAGCTGCAGATTTGTTTAGATTTGAGTGGCACTTGTGTATATTATTTCATAACGTCGTGTTTTTTTTTTTTCTTAATTTAGAGAACTAAATAAAAATATCAAAGTTTCACAGGGTACATGCTCGGAAGTACCTTAGGTCATCTGTTTGAGAAGAAAAGTGCCGAGTTGATAGACGTCAAAAGCAAAAAGAGGAAGAAAATGAAAGAGAAGATAAACAAGTTGAGAAAATATGGAAAATAGTATTCAGATGGGATCCAAGAGGAGGGGGAATCTATCTGAACAAGAAAAAAAGAGAAAGGTATAGACAGGGTGGAGCTTAGGTCTTGGATGGAAAATGCGCCGAGAAACATTCCTGGCATAGTTTGGCCGACTTTCAGCGGGGACGACGTCAGCTTCCCGGGAACCGATATAAGCGCGGAGGTGGCCAGACTTCAGCAGACAGCAACTGCTTTACTGAGAGCCTCATCTGCTCTAAACGAGCCTCTAACTCTACAAAGACTCCCAGCAAACAAGAGAGACAAACGACCAAGACAGGGAATACTACCGGGCGCAGACTTTTCACAAGGATTCTTCTTTACGCGCAAAGGAAATTTGTCCAAGATGCTGATGTCTACCATCTCTACTTTTTTCTTCCTCGTGAGCCTTCACGTGGTGAGTTTTTATTCGTTATTTTCATTTTAACAGATACTGTTCAGTTATTATGTTTGAGAAAAGAACATCTTGTTCTTTCCTTTGGATTTGAGGTCAAGATTTAAAGTCTAAATCAAGATTTTTTTTTTTTTCTGTCAACCGCACAGGTCCTCTCCTCATCCTCCTCTTGCCCCTCCATGTGTGACTGTCCCTCGGAGATGCCCAAATGCGCGCCCGGCGTGAGTGTGGTCCTGGACGGCTGCGGGTGCTGCAAGGTCTGCGCCAGGCAGCTGAATGAGGACTGCAGTCTGACCGAGCCCTGTGATCACACCAAAGGGCTGGAGTGTAACTTTGGGGCCAGTTTTGCTGCTGCTACAACTCGAGGCATCTGTCGTGGTATGTATTCAGACTACACTTTCTCTTTGAATTAGCCTGCAGTCTGTTTTCCCCTCTCTGTAAAAGAGAGGAGTAGGAGCTTGGTGATTTCAACACTATGGAATGCAAGTAGTCTAAACCTCAAAGCCCACTGAGGAGGGAGACTCCTCAGGCAGCCTGAATAATTTCTCAGTTGAACTGATCCTTATCTGGCAGCCATGTGACGGCTTTAGCAGACATCTTTGAGAAGAGCAGGAAAGAATAACATTCCTTTATTTCTGTTTTTTTCCCCTCTTACAGCCAAATCAGAGGGCAGACCCTGTGAGTACAACAGCAGGATCTACCAGAATGGAGAGAGCTTCCAGCCCAACTGTAAACATCAATGCACATGCATTGATGGAGCAGTGGGATGCGTCCCGCTTTGTCCACAAGAGCTCTCCCTGCCCAACCTGGGCTGTGCCAATCCCAGGCTGGTGAAAGTTGCTGGCCAGTGCTGTGAAGAGTGGGTGTGCGATGATGGCAAGGAGACAGACATCTTAGAAAAGATCTTTGGCAAAGACATGCTGAGTGAAGAGCTGGAGAGAGACCTCACCAAGAAGAATGAGCTCATTGAAATTTTCAAAGGAGGACTCAAGTCCCTACCTGGTAAGAAATATTTCAGTCTATCTTTTCTGAACAGTTGTTGGTTCTAGCTTAACATTTGAAGCATATAATGATTTGCTAATTTGGTTCACTTCTTTTGTTCTCAGCATTCAGAGCAGAGCCTGAAGTCCACAGGTTTGACAGTCAAAAGTGCATTGTCCAAACCACACCTTGGTCGCATTGCTCCAAGAGCTGTGGAACCGGCATCTCCACCAGAGTCACCAACAACAACAGCGAGTGCAAGCTGGTCAAAGAGTCACGGATCTGTGAAGTGCGCCCATGCACTCAGTCACCTTACTCCAGTCTGAAGGTAAGCTTGAGCCGACTACAGCTGAATGATATAGAAATGTGCATGAAACAGAAAAAGATCTTACTGCTGGTTCTGCGCACACAACTGATCTCCATCTATTTTGTTCTCTTCCCTCTGCAGAAAGGAAAGAAGTGCAGCAGAACCAAGAAGTCCAGCCAGCCAGTGAAGTTCAACTATGCTGGTTGTTCCAGCTTGAAGAAGTACCGGCCCAGATACTGCGGGGCCTGCGTGGATGGTCGCTGCTGCAGTCCTCACGACACCAGAACCATCCGCGTCAAGTTCCGCTGTGAGGACGGCGAGACCTTCCACAAGAACGTCATGATGATCGAGTCCTGCAAGTGCACTTACAACTGTCCACATGCTAATGAAGCCTCCTACCCTTTCTACCGCCTCTTCAATGACATCCACAAATTCAGAGACTGATTGGTGAAGAGGATCCAAACCCTTCAGTGAGAAATAGATCAGCTGCATCATTGGCAGCCAATGGCAGTCTAGATGACTGCAGGGGTGAAGGCAGACCATCAGCCACCATCTTCTTGTTGTAACTAGATTCCCAAGGAATTGTGGACTTACATCATGAGGACTTAATGAAGTGCACTGTTTGCTGTGACTACATCAGCATTCTTAACATGAATTGCTTCATATTATTGGAGCTTTGAAAGTAGCTTCGTCATGGAGCAGGTTGTAATTACTAATTGTACATTTACACTAGTTGCTGATATCAATTCACTGTGTATATTTTGATCCTTTCTCCAACATGACCCAGTCTGTAGACTTGTGTGTGTATATGTTGATATGCACATGCGCAATTTCAATTAGCATACCATGGTATATCTTAAAGAACAAGACAACGAAATGTAACTTGGCGACTTGTCTAACAGGCGTGTAGTTTCATTCCTTCCTGACGTGGGCATTATTGTTCATGTTTTGTGGCAGCTATTGATGTCCCTTCATGAAAAAAGACAAAGCGAAACATGTCAAAGGATGAATGTTTTTATTATTGTTATTAATATTATTTATCTAATAAATGTAGCTACTTTATTTGGATATTAGGTGTAATACTGGAATAAATTTGTAAAATGATTTAATTTTATATGCAACAATAAAACTGATTTATTTATGAAATATTACACATGCCTCCTTTGGTTTGTTGAAAGTTTGCTGTAGGATGGTACAAACCTTCCACGCCACCCCTTCAAAAAACAAAACCACAATGCTCGCGGGTGCAGAAGTGGGGGAGGATATCCAAAGAGGAACTTCTCAAGTTATGTCATTCTGTAAGGATTCTCAGGCAGACAATGAGCAGGGTCACTGTGTCTTTATATAGCCAAACCTCAGAGTCTCCCTCCACTGACTTTCTGTGCTTTGGAATGCCATTCTGCAGAGAGCTAGCTTGCTTTCACTTGATCTGCCCAAGCCATTCACTTGACTGATTCTGAGAAGGGTTCAGAGGGAGATTAAGTCCATGGGTAGCAATGAGTGCAGTAGTATGCCAAGAATCTTAAGTGCTGCTCTCAATGTGCTGGGATTAGACACCATGCAACATGGACAAAGACTATAATTGTGTACAATAGCCTGTATCTAATGAATGCATTCCATGTTTTTTTTTCTTCTCACACATAGCAGCGTAGTGCTACCAAATTGACCCAATTCATTAGTAGCTGCCTTTAGACATGAGTTAGCTTCATTGGTCTTTAGAAGCTCTTAAACTGCAGGGGTCTGCTAAACAGTTGTAAACAGCAGACAAGGCTCAAGTCTCCCTTTTGGCTTTGGGTCAGTTCACTCATTCATCTATTGGTACCCCGATTTGGTACCCACGTGCTGCTAGTCTATACCCATCCACGTGACCATTGCATATCAGTTTACTTCCTCCTGCTGTAAAGTATTTTCATGAGAGATGTAGAAAAATCTTAACTATATTTTGGTTTAACTGTCCTCATCCACATTTGGGCTTGTTGCCCCTTGATCAATCTGAAGTTACAGGAAGTAACCTGCTACTTGTACATATTTATTTATTGAAGGAGGAAAAACATCTCTTTACAATATACATTGATTATAGAAATTTTCTTTAAATTACTGTTTGTCAAAGCTAGCAGGAAATGTCACCCATTCCTTTCAGGTTTCAGATCAGCAGGCATTAGCAAAAACTATCATGAGGGCAAAACGAGGAGAAAACTAAAGATGGGGAGAAAATGGGATTGCTATGTGCTTATCTACTACCACAGCACTAGACATAACCTCACACTGGAGCAGTGTTCTTTATCATTTTATGGCCTCCAATATCCATGAAAACTGCATAATATAAACTTAATGATTAAAGAATACAACAACAAATCGCACAGAGGTGTTTTTATTTCTCCCCAGGTTTGATGTTTGTACCACTGCTGGGGTTTGAACTGGCGCACACACAGTACAGCTCAGGGGCAACGACAGTAAAGGGTTTCTTTTCAGACCCAGGTAGAGGGAGCGGCTCAGGAATGCAGCAGTGGCTCAGAAAGCAGACATCCTGATGGGCGGCAGATGTTGGAAAATATTTCAGAGCAACATGTTCACTTTAGCTGGGAAAATTTTCCAAATTCGCCAAACACTCCCAAGAACTCTCTTGTGTAAACCAAAAGCAATTCATCGCTCTGCGACAGCTAAGAACTTGTCTTGCTGACACTGTATGGCATCTTTGTTATCTTTCCTGCAAGGCTGCTGGCAGTAAATCTTGATCAAGTGTGTTTAATAAGAGGCTGAGCAGGGCATAGCCTTTGATTGAGCTGAATGCCTCACAGGATGTACCAGCTGAGGTTTTACAGATTGCTTACATGAAAGGCTTCTGAGGTTTACCTAATCACAAAGATGTGTGGCTGCCCCCCTCGCAGCCAGGGTTTACAGTCAAAACACTTTCAGGGTGCCCTGTTTTTGCTCTGTCGCTTCCTGCAGGAGGAACTTTCCATCTTGTCTCAGAGACTTTGCCAACTGTCGTCCTATCTGGTTATCAGCAATTCTGATAATGGACTGTGGGGCACTCAGTTATGTAATGGGATCTATAGGTTATGTGAGTGATGCTGCCTATCAACTGTAGCATTCCTTCATGGCAGGCCATCCTTCTGCATGTTCAGGGAGCCAAACAACTGGGTTTATTGCAAAGACAAAACTTCAAACAGAGCACAAATGTGAAAACTAACAGTTCTGGAAACACATAGGTGCTCCTGCAATTAACTAATTCCCCAACAACCTCATTCCTTAAACTATATATGTGTTTATATGACAAAGGCATTTGAGTTCAAGTTTCATCGAGAGCTACGTAATCTTGTGTGCAACCAGCAGCTAAGAGAACCGAGAGAGACCATTACAACATGCTGGATACTGCTAAAGGCTGATGTCAACAATTTTATAGTCCCCTAGACTATAACCTTCAGTTAATATTTACTGTTATACAGGCAGGAGGGAACGAGGGTTGGAAGGTAGTCACAAAACACAGAGGCAGCTTCTTGTTTCATAAAGTACCATCTGCTGGTCAAAAGTTGAAACAGCATTCTGTTTTTAAACTGTGCATTGTAAAACATCTGACATCAAGCAATCAGCTTCTGCGTCTTTAAAAATTAACCTTCACTTTTTAAAACTAAACAAATAAATGGAGTAAAGTTTTCACAGGATTTGTGAGAAAGTTGTTGCAATGAGCATGGGCACACAGAGACTTATGGATAGTGATGCAAGTCTTCTGTCACACCCATAGGATCTACAGCTGTAATTATGTAAAAAATATAACTGATGGGCAGCCTGGAAAGGGCAAATCTGTCCTCTCCTCCCAGGCTTTGGCCTGTTTGTGACTATAGTTAGATGACTACTTATTACTGCAGAAATTATTAGCTCAGACTCACTTATTGGGCGTCTTAAGAGGTGGACATCATCATTCAAGCTTTTGTTACTCTTTTTGTTGGCAGGCACAGGCACATCAGACAAGTCCAACAATAAAATATTAAAAACTGTAAAGGATAACTTTTTAGTGATTTGTTTTAATTAACAGGGTTAAACATTATTCATATACACTTCAGAAATCCACTTTAGAAACTTCACAGGTACATAACTGCTGACCAATACCTTAGTTACTATTCTTGTCTGAAATGGGTAAGAGTCATAGCTGGGAAATTTCTTCTCATCATTGATAGAGTTGACAAAGTCAGGTTTTCAAATTAAACAATAATTTGGCGCAATAATTAGTGTAGAAATTATCTGTGATGTACTTCAAGGTTCAGTTATATGACATTTTCTACTGATGTACAGTATATGTGGTTCCAATTTTTTTATGAAATGCCTTCGTCCATCAACTGCTTGACAACACTCAAACAGTGGTTACCTTGACAACTGTCCACAACTGTCCACAACTATATTCTGAGAGATGAGAAACCCAAATCATTGTTCCAGATCTTAAAATCATCTCTATTAAGTAGTATATTGGTGCCTCAGCATCCTGTGTCTTGCTGAGTCTAAGGAATATTTAGCTCCTAAGCATCACTCTTAACATTTTGTAAGAAACTCAATTTTTTTAGTTACAGATGATAGCAAATCACAGAATTTTGCTATTCAAGGAAAAAGTGGAGACTTCTGCACATTCTTCCATTTCATCATACACTAATGCAGTAATTGTATTTAAAAAAAAACAAAAAAGGGCTCCTTTATATGTGTAAAGTCACTGACATATGTAAATTGAAAAAAATAATAAAAATAATCAGAATAATGAGAAGAATATTGTTTGATTTTATCAGAGTACAATGTTATACTTTAAAATATTTGAAATACTGATAATATTTTGATGCAGTAGTTTCACTGCAATAGTTGTGCTGCTTTTATATGCAATGAAAGCTAAATTGAGCATTTAAATTTAAAAAGATGTTAAGACTTTTTTTTTTCTTATTTGCTTATCAACTGTAGCTGAGCATTTATCATCTTATCTTCCTTGTCAATCGACATAAAACAATATCTTAAGAGTATAAAGCTAAACTGATTTTGCTCCATGACTGTGAATCTGACATTTTATTACTCTTTTGCTTTTATTAAAACATGTCAAATACTGATCTAAGTCTCCAAATTCTCAACATAAACTCCACCAATTAAAGAAAAAATTACATTCTGCGTGAAAAACACGACCAGAGTTTTGTGTAATTGGTGAATTATAGCTCTGCAGCGAGAGGCTGGCAGCCTTTCTGCTTTGTTTTGGGCTCTTTAAATGCTAAAGAGCTCCATTTTGACTCTCCTTTTGAAGTCTTGAAAGTATTGAATTCATGACCATGAATGAACCTTTAGATGTGGGTGTAGATTAGTAAAATCCCTGCACTGCCAGAGTCAATCATGCACAACTCGCACTGTCAATCTCAGGCTCAGTCTTGCTTAGCCGACTTCAAAATGTTTGAATTTGCATAGTGAGAGAAGAACAGGATTTTGGGCAATCACTGTTTTTTGTTTTAATTTTCTCCAAGGGCAAGAACATACAAGCAAAAACCATGAGGATGACCGGCTATTTTAGTCTGGTGGTGCTACAAGTCAATCAACATGCAGAAGGTCTGTGTTTCCGAAACTGCTCATTATCTCGTTCTCTTCAGGGATGTTACTGAGGTGAAGATGTCAGTCTTCAAGAAAAACAGAGACCTAGCTTTAGAGTCTGAAACAACTATTTGTCTTCTGCACTTACTCTACTTATATGCAAGGTTTAAGAGCCACAAAGCCACCCAGAGAGTCAATGAAACAGCACAGGTTTTACAGCTTTATGTGAAAAACTGCTGGGATTTGAGTGATGATTCAATATTAAGCTATCCCTGTGCACAAGATGCTTCCTCCAAATTTGACATTCTCCAGATGGTTAGGCATAGTAGCTCACAAACAGATAAATCAGTGAGTGGATGGCTTTAAAACCCATTGGACCAACCTCAGTCAAAATGTCTTTCTCACTGAAAGAATCAGGATGAAAAAACGATCTAAAGGCGAAGTGAAAATTTTTAGCCAGCAAGGAGTTGTCAACAGCGATAAGAAAAAAATAAATGGGATGCATTTTGTGTATTTTTGCTTAGAGTGTATGATTGACATTGGGCAATGATAATGATCTGTGTGGGCTGAAGCATAGCTCTGGCATTTATTTATTGAGAGA